CCGATCGTCCCTTTACATAAGCATGCTGCTTATATTTAAGGTCTTTGTATGGTATGCTGCTTTTAACCATGCTATCGACTATCCGTTCCAAGGTTTTAAGTAGGAAGGACGTAAGACTTATCGGTCGATAGGACTTAGGTGTCGCATAGCTAGGTTTCCCTGGTTTGGGTATAAATATTACCCTTGCATTCTGCCATTTAACTAGGGTATATGCCAATTTTAAGCATGCAGTGAATATCTGTGACAGATGTACGGGAACCAGTCCCGCCTCCATCTGCAAAAGTGCCGAGAAAATTCCATCCGGCCCTGCAGCTTTATAGGGAGCAACGCTCTTGATGGCCCTTTTAATAACTATTATGTGTTACCTTCCCCTTCCTCCAATATCGGTTCATCCATGTTATTCGATATACCGGGTGGGAAATGATACATCTAAATTTTAAAAATATTGGAGTCCTGGAACTAGAGTATATTTTTCTAATGCATCCTTGGTTAAACTTTTTTGATTTTCCCGTTTAATTAAAAAATTTAGTTTGTGAAATTTATTGGATAAAATTGTATCAATCTTAAGATTATATTCCAATTACAATTATTAATTTGTGGCTAAAATATTATGGAAGTGTTTTAATGCCTATGGAAATTGTCTAAACAGGGATTTTAGAATAAGCTAGGATTACATAGTTCCTTATGTTTAACAGAAGTGTTCTACTTTTTTCAATTTTTTTTACATTAAAGAAATATTGTAAATTTGACGACTAGATATACACAGAAAAAGGTTTCAGCATAAATATTATGAACTGCTTCCATTGACTAAAGTTAATAATATTTAAGAATAAGTTCCTAAATTGTATGAATTTTTTTCATTTTTATATTTTTAAATATAATCTAGAAGCTTTGACATAAAATATTAAATTTTTTTTTATATTGTTCTTTTTGTTAAAAAATGTTCTTCTTTGGAAAATTCTATCTAATCTATCCCCCTAAGCATGCGCTTGCATACGATGTCTTCTTCCTTCTAAAATTTTGTATTATAACTTAAAAACACCAAAATGTCTACTACTTTACAGCAAATAATGTGCGTAAATAATTTTAATGCGAAACATATTTGGTTATGTCATATTTATATATAAATTGATTATGTCTTATAAATTTAAATTTTTTCATTTACAAAATTATAAAACTCGCGATTAATTCGTTTTGACTCGAATCGCGAGCGAGTTAAAAAATTAAAAATGTATTCGCGTGAAAATGAATTATTTAAATCGCTCGAATTAAACTCGCTCGCTATCTGTACCCTGGCTAAACGTCAAATTGTTATCATGATAAAAAAATTAGCAGGTACAGACAGCATTTATTAGCGTTATAACGCCGTTATGACAGTGTTGTCTAAATAATAAACGCCTTGAAAATAAACGTAATTTTATTCTAAAATTTGTTTAGAATTTTGTTTTTGTGCAATTTAAATTGATTTTTAACATAAGTTTTAGTGAAGTTAGTGTTTATTTACAAAATTTGCATTTAATTTTAATTGTTTTTATAAAATATAGCATTAGTTCAATAAAATTATCTGTAAGTTGTCGTGATAAAATCAGCATTTTGTTACCCCTATGTATTACCATAAACAAAAAAACTGACAATTTTTCTGCTGACGTTTTGTCAAGTGCCGTGATAAATATTTGTCTAATATAGACAGGGGCTAATTAATATATATAATTAATATATCTTGGTAGCAAAGTATATTAATAAAGCAGCATCACTTGAACAGCTGATTATTTTTTTTAAACTAGATAAATGCAGAAGTTGTCAAAGTTTAATTTGAAAATTATCAACATTGTTTATGTCACCATTTTTAAGTTGTGTTTTGCTATTTGAAAGTTGAAAAAGTGAATGAAAAGAGGTTTAAAAGTGTTATAAATTATATAATATATAAAATTATAACTATATCCTTAATATTTCTGCAATAGTTCTGCAACAACAACATTTTACATGTATTTTGTTTTTGCATTTGGTTTACGTAGATGTCAAAAACCATAAGTACGGTGAATTCATTTGATGAAAAATTTTTGTAAAATGTTTATATTTTATTAAAAAATAAAGATAAAGATGTTAAAATTTGTGAGGAAAATATATTCTGAATTGAATAATGTTTGTTTCAAACGAAAAATTCTATTCCGGCAGATTAATTTGCAAAATTTAAGTGAGTGCCTGAAGTTAAGTAAAACTTAATTTTTATGTGAAAAATATACATAAAAAAGTACATATTAACGAAAAAATATATATAACGAATGAATGAATATTTGTTGCGAATGGATAATTCTACTCCGGCGGAGTAATTTTCAATATTTGGCCATAATGTAGCAGACGACGGCCGGGTAAATACCTCATATGGGTTTTGTTATATAAAGCGTTCCGGAACAGACTTTTGTTAGTTAATCACTTTATCAACATTGTGTATATATGAAACAATATTGTTTAATTTGTTAACATTTAATAGATTTTAAAATTAAGCCATATGTAAAAGTAAGCTGCCGATGTTCGGCTAAATTCTTCATATGTGTTTCTTTATATAAAATGTTCCGGAAGAGATTTTTTTTAGTTAATCACGTTATCTACCCAATGTTAATATAAAATATATAACAATATTGTTTAATAGAAAAAATATTTTTCCTAAATAACATATTTGTATATATACCAATTATGCCATTATTTAAATAAAATGATATTTGTTTACGAGATGCTTGATATTTTTAGATTTTTTACATAAATAATTCAAAATATTAACAAAGTTTTTCTCCGTTTAACGGAAATGTTTATATATAAAAATGTAAACAATAACAAACTTTGACAGCTACGTAAACCAGGCGAATCGAGGCGAATTCATATAAGGTGGTGTTATTCAATCAGCTGATAATTTTTTTCTTAATTTGCCTGGTTTATAAGGCGAATAGACTATAAGGTGAAGTCATTTCATTTTGCGGCGAATTCATGAAATTTTTTATATATGTAGTTTGATAGCGTCGGATTTGAGAGAGAATTTTTTTTTATATTGAGTTAGACAACTTCGGGCTAAATTTCCATGGACAAAAAAACAATCAGCTGTTGAAGTGACTTCACCTTATTAGTTTCGCCATGCTGGTTTACGTAGATGTCAAAGTTTGTTATTGTTTACATTTTTATATTTAAAAATGTCCGTTAAACGGAGAAAAACTTCGTTAATATTTTGAATTATTTATGTCAAAAATTTGAAAATACCAAGCATCTCGTAAACAAATATCATTTTATTTAAATAATGGCATAATTGGTATGTATACAAATATGTTATTTAAGAAAAATATTTTTTTCTATTAAATGTTAACATATTAAAAATATTGTTTTATATTTTATATTAAAATTGTGTAGATAACGTGATTAACTAAAAAAATCTCTTCCGGAACACTTAATATTAAGAAACGCATATGACGTATTTACCCGGCTGGCGGCAGCTGACTTCTACGTTATGGCTTAATTTTGAAATCTATTAAATGTTAACAAATTAAACAATATTGTTTTATATATACACTATGTAGATAAAGAGATTAACTAAAAAAAGTCTGTTCCGGAACGCTTTATATAACAAAACCCATATAAAATATTTACCCGTCCGGCGGCTGCTACATTATGGCCAAATATTGAAAATTACTCCGCTGGAGTAGAATTATCCATTCGAAACAAATATTCATTCATTCGTAATATAATATTTTCATGAATATGTACTTTTTTATGTTTATTTTTCACAAAAAATTAAGTTTTACTTAACTTCAGGCACTCACTTAAATTTTGCAAATTAATCTGCCGGAATAGAATTTTTCGTTTGAAACAAACATTATTCAATTCAGAATATATTTTCCTCACAAATTTTAACATCTTTATCTCTATTTTTTAATAAAATATAAACATTTTACAAAAATTTTTCATCAAATGAATTCGCCCGTACTTATGGTTTTTGACATCTACGTAAACCAAATGGAAAAACAAAATACATGTAAAATGTTGTTGTTGCAGAACTGCCACCACCAAAGTAAATTAATAAAGTAGCATCACTTGAACATCTGACTATTTTTTTTAAACTAGATAAATGAAACAAATTGTCAAAGTTTGTTTTGAAAATTGTTAACATTGTTTACGTCGCCATTTTTAAATTGTGTTTTGCTATTTGTTAAAATTTGTGAAAAGTTGAAAAAGTGAATTAAAAGTGGTTTTAGAGTAGTTTAAAAGTGTAATAAATTGTATAATATATAATAATATAATTAAATCGTTAATATCTTTAGCTTAAAAGTAATATTTTTTATTTATGTTTTGTTCACATTGTTTTTCAAGGAAATTTTATTTTGACACAATCTTAAATTTTCCAAAAACAAAATACATGTGGTTGTTGTAGATGTTGTTGTACAAAGTATATTAATAAAGTAGCGACATCTCTTGCTGTACAACAACATCTACAACAACCACATGTATTTTGTTTTTGGAATAATTTAAGATTGTGTCAAAATAAAATTTCCTTGAACAACAATGTGAACAAAACATAAATAAAAAATATTACTTTTAAGTTAAAAATATTAACGATTTAATTATATTATTATATATTATACAATTTATTACACTTTTTAAACTACTTTAAAACCACTTTTAATTCACTTTTTCAACTTTTCACAAATTTTAACAAATAACAAACACAATTTTAAAAATGGCGACGTAAACAATGTTAACAATTTTCAAACAAACTTTGACAATTTGCTTCATTTATCTAGTTTAAAAAAAATAGTCAGCTGTTTAAGTGATGCTACTTTATTTATTACTTTGGCTACTTTATTAATATACTTTGGCCACCACCTTATCTGAATTCGCCATGCAGGCGAATTAAGAAAAAAATTATCAGCTGATTGAATAACACCACCTTATCTGAATTCGCCTTGTTTTGGTAGTTTTTTGACAAAAACTTGGCAGCAATATAATTTATTCAGTGGCAACGCTGCTCTTAGCTGTCAGGCCAAAGTCTGCTCAATACTTTTACCACAAAGTATACTTTTACTTCACAAAACAGCGGAAGAAGTAGAGTTTGTTGTTCATTGGAAAAATTATTTAATTTAATTAGCTTTATTGAATGAATTCGAATAGAAAAGTGTATATTAATTATTGTTTAGTGGAAGTTTTAGTTTTTACTACGTGAAATAGGTTAACCTCCAGTTAAGTCTAAAATTTGTGCATAGTCATGTTTGAAGATGCCGACAATATTGCTGACATATTTCGTGGTAATTTACCATATTATATGCTTTTGGCCTTGCCAATATTGATAATATGCTCCTCGAATCCTGTGCTAGCATCTAGTGAATTCTCTGTCCAGCGTATGTCCCAATACGATGTCAATGGTGTTTATTTTGGTAAGTAAAAGAAATGCCACAAGTCTCACATAATTTGCCGGCGAAAAAAATTGAGCCGCATGACCACTATTACAATATCTAGTTCACGCGCCATGTGTACATACATTCATATGTACATATGTACAGTGTCTCTCATAAGTATTCGAATTTAATGTATTATGAAGACAGACATTATTTTATAGTAGATTTTGTGGAAAAAATAAGTAAAGATAGTTTAAATTTTATATCATATTTAAAAAAATGTAAAAAAAAAAATAATTTACTTAAACTAATTTAGCTTTTTTTTTTTAAGTGTTAAAAATAGCTTCACAAAAGTATTCGAATTTTTTTGTATACATCATATTTAGATTAGCATTATGAAGTAAAATAAATGATTAAAATGTAATTAATATTTTGTATAGTAGCCTTTGTTTTTTAAAAACAACGTCCAATCGACGTGGAACCGTTTCTACCAATTTATGGAATAGTTCTGGCGTTATTATGTCCCATTCTTTATGCAAAGCAACCGTATAGTGGTTTTGGAGGATAATGAGTGATTTAAAAGTTGTTGTAAATATAACCACAAATTTTCAATGGAGTTTAAGTCCAGACATTAACTCCATTGTAAATTTGGTGAAGGAAGATACTTATTGTTGTAAATAATTAAAATATTCACGTACCAGGTCGTGTATTTTGGAACGTTTTTCTGTTGAAAAATAAATTGAATGTGTTGTAGTCCCATTTTGGTGGTACTAGCATGCAAATTCTGCTCTAAAATTGACAAGTGGAGCAGAATTTGCATGCTAGTACCACCAAAATGGGGCTACAACACATTCAATTTATTTTTCAACAGAAAAACGTTCCAAAATACACGACCTGGTACGTGAAAATTTTAACCATTTACAACAATAAGTATCTTTCTTCTCCAAATTTACAATGGAGTTAATGTCTGGACTTAAACTCCATTGAAAATTTGTGGTTATAATCTATAATTACAATAATAAATTTTAGCAGTCCAACACCGTGGACGGACACAGAAACCCAAAATATGACAGAGCAACTTGGGTCCTTTACAGTTGGTTTTATGTTAGATAATTCCAAGGCTTTCGCCATATCATTTGACGACTATCTGAGCCAAAAATATTATATTTGTTCTCATCGTCGAAGATAACCTCCTTCCATAGTCCAATATTCTTACTTGTGAGTCTATTTGCGGAGTCAAGACACTTAACATCGATTAACTTCGATATGAGCGCTTTCCACCTTGGTACTTGACCATGCAAATTATTGCTCCCTAGTAGTTTGTGCACAATTTCGACAATTAATTTTTTAATTTGAATTGATCAACTCTTTTTCTTTGAACATTTTTAAGCGCTTACACAGGAAGGATTTACAACATAATTATGCAATTTTGCAAAAAATATAATGTTAAATATTCCATATAACCACTACCTGCATAATGGGTTAATTATTAATTGGGCAATAAAACAGGTGTTCAAGGATTCTAAAAAAGTTCCTAGAAAAAATTCGAATATTTTTGAGCAGTACCTGAAAATACCCTTTTTGGGGGTTTTCCATTTTCTTGGAAACCATTAATGAGTATTTATTACTTTTTAATAATAAAATTTCATTAAAAAATTGTAAATACACAGTAATTCATAAAAAATAATAAATTGGAATATTTATGTGAGACACTGTATGTACATATTACCTGCATATAAAATGTAAATAGAGTATGTATTTACTTTACATTTATGTATTCCATCATATTTGATAACAATAGAACATATTTAACCTATACCTTAATCAGATCTTGAGCGTTAGGTTTTACTCAAAGTAAATTTATAAAGTAGACTCATTTGAACAGATGACTATTATTATTAAACTTGCTATTTGGGGACTTACTTGTCAAAATGTTTATATTGCCATATTTGTTTTCATTTTAACGCATGCTTTTGTACAAATTTCTGAGTAATTTGTTGTATTTAATGTGAAAAAGTGTATTTTAAGTATATAATATTTTTAAAAATGTTCCAATTTTTAAAAAATGAAGAAAACTGTGTGACTTTTAATATAAATAACAATTGTATATAAATAACATTGTATA